CCGAGACACTCTGGTTTCCAAACTTTCCTTATTTGACATCTTCTTCATCCTTCCTTAAACGTCTGGATCGCCCGTTCTGCAAGTCCATTGGAGGCTGGATGATAAGGAGCAGTCCTTCTGTGGTGAATGCCGTTTTTCGCCAGAAATTCTTCGAATTCTTCACTGCAAAAATTACTACCGTTATCACTAACAATTGTTTTAGGAAGGCCGTGGATTGCAAATGTTGATCGAAGTTTTTCAATTGTTGCTCTCGATGTTGCCACATTCGTTGGATGCACTTCGAGCCATTTTGAGTACGCATCGACCATGATGAGGAACATTTTACCCAAGAATGGACCAGCATAGTCAATATGAATTATTTCCCAGGGTCGGCTTGGCCATTCCCACGGGTGCAGTGGCGCTTCAGGAGGATTCTTTCTATTTTTCCATGATTTGCCATTTTATCTCGTCGCCAAATGTAGTATTTTAACCTTAAAACCCAACTATGCTAAGTAACTCCCTTGTTAATACAGCTGTCTAGTTCTCCTCGAGGTGCCTGTTTTTTCCCGCCGGAAGTGCTAACTCCCGGATGTTACAATTATATATGCAAATGACAACAATTTTTAAAATTTATCAAATACCCCTGCCCCCGGGACAGTACTGATTGTCAAATTCCCCACTCACGGGATATAGACCTTATTCATAAATCGTGATGAGGCCTCGTATCCTAGGAAACGGGGAAAAACGCGGAAAAATTGACAAAATGTTTTTTTTGCTGTAGGCTATGGCAGCTTTTTTTCGTGAATATTACGGCTTTTTTCGAAAATAATATCTATAAAACTGATCTTGAAAGTTGAAAATATACTTCTGAGAAAATATAACATATATTTAAAGCAAAAGATGCTGGAGTTAATCGAAAAAGGAAACCTTTGACTTTGTATTATTGTCGTAGTTTGTAGGCCGAAACAAACAACCAATAAGGCTACAAAACGTCTATACAATACCAAAATCGTAAGAAATATGAAACTATTGTTGAAGAAATAAGATTACAACTCACTCAGGTAATGTAGCCTTCA